CAGGTGAGTAAGGAGAGGAGCTGGACATGTGAAAACCATTTTATTTATCTTTGGGTTTATTTTTGGGCAGAAGAGACACTCTAATGCATTCTCAAACATAGGATAAGCTTATGGCCGTATCAAAGAAGTCCATCATTATCCAGTTGTGCTTGTGTTTGGGTGAAATATTAAAGTCCTTTAGTTTCTATCTAACAAGGCAGCAAGGGTGTCCGGGCATATGTCCTCCAGTCTGGGCTTCTTATTAAATACCAAGGATATTTTGACTCAAATGTGCTCATTATGGTGCTGTTCTCTCAAATGGTTGCAAATCCTACAAAGAGATTTTTCATTCTTAGTCCTCTGAACATTAACTGTACATAACTGGGAATGCTTTGAGATGTGGTGCTGCCACTCTAATCTGAAAGAGAGAGAAAAGCAAAAATGTTGCTAGATATAAAGTTTGAACCGATCATTACGCCTACCAAAATAAATATAGGAAATGATTTACTGGGAAATGTACTGTAATCCTGAGGAAAGAAAAACTCTTGGAATTTCTGTTAAGAGTGTCAACTTCCACTCAGTCCAGTAGTGACCTAAGGGAAAAGAGTTATGATTCTGACAATATCTCTTTTACTGTGATGAGTGCACAAACCAAGACTGATTAATTGTGTGTGATCCCATCACTGACTGTTATGTGAAACTCTACATTTTAACTCATGTATTCTCAGTACCTATACAGGCATGGGCTTGGGGAATGGGAAATGGGAGGTGATATATGTAATGAATTTTGAACAAATCTACTGAAGTATAAACATCTGTTCTTATCCAAACAGAAGGTTGTGGCTTAAGCCCCTATTCTTAAGAATTTGAATGAATATATTAAAATTTTTTTCAATGTTGGTTTGAAGCCAGTGAATCTGAGATAAACTTTTATATTGGTCTAAGTATGCAAATAACATATCAGTGGTTTCCAATATAATGTTATTGTGGGAGTTATCCCAGAGCTGGGAGGCCGAAAACAACCATTTGTGTGAATTCCTGGGTCAAGCCATGAGATCACTTCTTAGTGTTCGCCAGTACCCAATCTAGTCATTGAGTATAGAGCCAACTCTGTTGTCATCCATGGTTTTCACTGGGAATTTGTTTCTCTTTAAGAAGATCTTCAAAAAAGGGGATCAGAAAAACATGGTGTAGTCCTTCTTGACGCAGATACCTGTAGAATTACAGTATTTTCGAAATATGCAGGGGTGGATAATTTGAAAACGCCAGATCTAACTTACATAATAGTTATGCTAATTTTCACCATATCTACTACCACCAGGATACTGAAACCCACCATTATCGGTTACCAAAATAATTGGAATATCCTACTAATTATTTCCCCTTTTATTCTGTATATATCAATATAAAAACGGCTCTCCAAGTTGTCAGAGTGATCCTGTAAAACTAAGATAAATCTTGTCTATATCAATACAAGGGATGGGGGTTCCATCACATTCCAGCAAAGCCACCTGTATTTAAACCTACAGTGGGCTATAGTCTGGCCTCTCTCTCTCATCCCCACACTCTCTGAAACCAGCCCTGCTTTTCTGCTTTGCTCACTCAGCTCCAGACATGATAGCATCCTCCTTGCTCCTCAAACATGCCAGCCGCCAACCTGTTCTAAAGGCCTCAGCACACCTGCTGTCCTTCCAGAGAGAGCCCTGAAAGGCTCCTTCTGACAGCTACAGGGTCAGTTCTCCACTCGCCTTCAGGGGTGAGACTCAAAGCCAAGTTCAGTAAGGCCTTCCTGGACACCTTATTCATCTAGTTTCAGCCTCCTCCTGAAATTTTCTATCCCAATTCTCGCTTGCGTTTTTCTAATAACACTAGTCACTATGAATATACATTATAATTGCTTATTCATTTTGGCTACTGTCTATCCCCCACACTAAAAATGAAAAAGCTCCATGAGATAAATTTTAGTTTGCTTCTTTCATTCATTATTACATCAATATCTGTGCCTAGAAGAATGCCTGGGTAGAGCCCACCAAAGTAAGTATTTGTGGGGTAAAGATAAACAAGTAATAAAGAGCAAATGGGATCAAAGTCAGCAAGGTGTTTCCGGTGTAGCCCCAGTCACAAGTGCAAACGCCTCCTAGGGAAACAACTGTGCATTTTATTGAGTGAAGCAGGCCAGCTGGGGTGTGGGCCAACTGGAGAGGGTCTTCACCAGCACTGGACTGGAGACCTACCTAAGGCCGGCGCTGCATGTATCCTTGTTGGGAATGAGGGCCTCAATCCCCAATGCTGCTTTTGTTGTTGTTGTTGTTGTTGTTTGTTGTTCTGTTTCACTTTCAGAGATGCCAGAAAAACACAAATTTTTTCATTGTGTGAAATCTCTCAAATGTCTAAAGTACTTAATTAAAAACAGAAAACAATGAAAACACAAAGATGAAACAAAATCTGGCAGCTGACTGAGATCGGTCCCCAGCCAGCTGGTATTTGTTGGACTGAATTGTGTGATGTATACATGAAAAATTAATCCCCAAGTGGTGGTGAGGTAGGCAGTAGTGTAATTCTTGAGGCAGTCAGCCTCAGGCCATGTTACATGCAGAGAATAAACTTCTATTTAATCTTCTTTCAACTCCTGGCAGCAACCCTTGCATCTCCCACTATGCATGGAGTTAGGGCAACTAAGCAGCAGTAGGTCACCAGCACTCTTCTTTGGGGCTGGGAGGTATAATTTAGTGAAGGGTGTGGTTGGTGAAACTAGTGAGAGGGTTTTCTGTGAGCTGGGCTAGGGAGAAATAGAAAGGCAAGGAGGAGGAAGAGAAACAAGGTTGATCTATCTTTGCATCAGACACACCATAGTTCTGAGTAGTGGCTGCTGCTCCCTCCCCATCAACCTGACCCTTGTGACACCCTTCGTGGGCCAGCTGAATGAGCAGGCCAAGTCACAATCCCAGCCCAATAGTCTCACGGCGCGGCATCTGCCTCTGCCTGAAACAAAGAGCTTCACAGACTTCTATCACAGATTTCTGTGAGCTTGCAGGCAAGACTGGCCAACAGGTGCCTGTGAGGGGTATGGTGACACCCAGCTTTGTGTGGGGGCTCCAACCAGAATGTGGCTTGGGACAGCAGACCTCTTTTAGTGGTCATTGGAGCCACCTAGTGTTTCACTTGTTAGGTATACAAGAGCATGGGCAGACAAGTACTCTCTACATACTGAGAGAGAAACACTAGGCTCAACTTCCGACGCACCTTGTCTCTCTAGATACAGAAACAAACATTCCAGAGAAGGGAACTGGTGTGGATGAGACTGCTGCACCTGGAGTTCAGTAAGGCTTCCTTTTCTGGATAGCACTTTCCAAATGCGGTAGTGCACATCTCTTAAATTCTGAGAGAGCCCACTGACCATCCTCTACCAGGATTCATCTAGTGCAGGACAAATGAGAGGCAAGCCCACAGCCCAAAGCAATTTGTGGGGGCACCGGGCGTTAGTGTGTTTAGGCTGAGGGCTGGGGGGTTGGGTTCCCACAGTGGATGTGCCGAACTCCTGAAACAGAATAAACTTTGGCTCCGAACTTGACTGAGCTGGCTCCTGTCGGAATGCTCTTCTAAGTGAACCTCCAATGCATCCAGCATCTTTGGGACAGTTGCCATTTCCCGGCATAGAGTCAGGGAAGAGCAATGTGACACCAAGCGAAGTCCAACATTTTGGCTCTTCCCATCTCTCATGGGCCCACAACTCTTTTCCTGTATTCACACTTGTTATTGCCTTATTCTTGAATTCTTTTCTTCGCCAGTGGCCCTCTAATCCCTCTCCAACACCCTAAATCACGCAACTCTTCCTTTTGTGTTTCCATTAGCTCCTCCCTCCAGATCCCTGTCAGGTTGATACTTCTCCCCAACTCCTGGCCCACTTAAACTTCTTTTTATGTCTTCTCTTCCCACCACAGATCTTCTGTCTATTTTCCTGTAAGCCCCAAGATCTCACTCTAGTCTTCACTCCTCCCAGTTGGCGGTTTCTCATAGGTCATCCCCTCCCCCAAGAATCCCTCCCTTCTGGGCTGTTTTCCACCTTTCCTCAAGCAGTCACCTCCTCCCCTCTCTCTCCCAAGACAGCTAATCTCTTTTATTCTCTTCCCTGCTCCTCCAGACCAGACTTAGCTAAGTCTGCAGCTGCCATTTTTAAATGACTGATTATGATTCTAACTGAACTTTATTCAAACGAGACGAAATTGATAGTTGTCTCTTCCTTTCATGCCCCATCTAATAAAGTTACACCTGATCTTTTCAACAAGACAAAAGCACTTACACACAGCATAATGGTGACACACAAATTTGTATTTTTTAGGAACAAAACAACAGTTAATGCTGGCAAAGATGTTGCTATCAGGGATTCCATAGGCTTTGCCAGTACAATTGAGGGCAGTAACATTTTTGGTATGTCTACAAATTAATATAAGACATTTGTTTGCCACATGAGCCAAATTTACCCTAACAGTTAGGGACTTTACCCAAATCATAGACATAGATATGGAAATCAATATCAAACTTGATGAAACACACAGAGGGTTTGGCTCTGTAGGACCATGCCGGTTTTGGGAGCTACCTCTTGCAGGCATTCCATATGCTTACCTATCTACACAACCTCCTCCTGGCCTCTCTCTGTTGGAGTGAAACTCACTGATTCTGGTGCAGGTGATACGAAGGTCACCTTCCTTATAATCATCTAGAAGCTGGTACATGTACAAGACAGGATCTTTCAAGTAGGTAATATACAATAGGAGGATAGGTGTGTGCTTCGCCAAGACCATATGCCCCTCCATTCATCCTGGAGAAACCTATGGTTTCCTCTAAACATGGGTTCACTGCTGCAGAGATTGTAAGGTTGGTATCACGAACGTGAGAGATGATGCCACCCTGTCAGAAAGAATTTTAAGAGACAAAACTCTTTCATCTCTGTGAAGTTCCAGTCCATAGACACAGTCAATTCCATCATATTTCACCAGATAAATAGAGGGATTTATAGGTACCTGATCCAGAACGGTTCCTTTCCACTGGGTGATGGGCTCATCTCCTTCTTTCCATCCTTGAGAAATTCTGCATCCCACGATGTTCCTGCGGGGCTGGGATGAAGGTCTGCGTCTCTGCTCCTTTTGGGAGACTTTTTTCTTTGTCATGTTTGCAGACCCAGTGGCCCATCCTACAGCTGCCCTGGTTTGTTGCCCTTTGGCTTCCTGTGCGTTGGGGGTCTTCATGCCTGCTGGGGGAGGAGAGAATATAGAGAGACATATCCAGTGTGCCACAAGGCAAACTTTTCCCTATAGCCATGTCTGGATGTACTCTGCGGTGATGCCTAAGTTTCCCCTGGGAGCCTGGAAGCAATGCTGGAAATCTGGCTGCATGCCTGCAATGCTCTCCCTCTCAAGTTCCTTTGGGCTGTGGGGAAAGGCTAGAGTGGTGCAGTAGAGCTGTCGGTGGTTAGGAACTCTGCAGAAGTGGCTGGGCCAGGTCCTCCTAGCTCAGAGCCCACTGCGCTCCCTGAACCCCTTACTGCCACTAGCATCCACTCCCAATCCCCTGCAAAGCAGCCTTGACCAGCACCCACTACCCTCATGCCCTCTGTGCCCCTGCTACTGTCCATAACCCCCACTGCCTATCCTAACCACTTCCCTGGTACCTACCTCCCTTGCTTCCCGGGTATCACCTTCAAATCCTTGTCTGGATCCTATTCCTACCCCTTCCCCTGTTGTCCACCGCACTCCCCCACCCCACCCTTGCCTGGCGCCCACCTCCACCCCATGTCTCCTGCTGGATTCCTTCCCATCCCCCTCTCCATTCTGGTGCCCACCAATGGCTTTGCCCTGCCTGGCCCCCACCGCTGCGGATCGCGGGCCTCCCGTGCCCAAATCGGACACCTCTCTGCTGCCTCTGCTGTGAGCCTGTGTCGAAGGAGGGTCAACAGGCGATTGACTGTGTAAGTGTTTGCAAGAGCGGGGAGGGTAGGATCCGTAGATGAGGAGCGTGTGTAGGAGTGCGGCGAGACAGGCAAAGAGCACTGCAGCGGTGTCCCCAGCGCTTGGCTCGCTGGCCGTCTGCCTCCCTGTTGGCGGCGGCAGCCCCTCAGCCACATCGGGCTGCCACCTTTCCCTGCTGCAGTGGCTGTAGTCTCTGCCCTTTTTCTGCACAAGACTGCAGTGTTAGTTTCCTCTTAGTACTGATGTCTTCCCTTCTTCTAAACACAGAGTAGGTCTGCCTTTCTTTCCCTGGGGCCCCTCCTGGGCTCCTCCTTCCCTTTCCACAGTTCACAGCAGTGGAACCTGTAGGTGGCCTTTTCTCTCTTCCTGTCTGTGCTCACTGAATCCTTCAAGCTCTCTAGCTCCTCCCCTCAGGTCTCCTGCTCCATCTGTTTTCCATCTTTCAGACATTTCTCACATTCTTTGGAAACCTACCAATTAACATAGAAATACCATGTGTATACACTTATGGAGACATGAATCCATTACGACCATACGCAAATGTGTAGCATACATACTCGCGAATACATATATTAAGTGTTTCTCCACAGCATTGTATAGGCATATTTTAGATTTAGAGACCTGGTTTATTTTAAACTTAAAGAGTTATTTTTGAATGTCATTACAATACTTAACAAACCTTATCTATTCCGCATAAAGTGACATCATTTAAATTTTTTTTTTGTGAGTCATAGTTTTTCACAGTATCCTATAATTCTGAAAATAATCAACAATATTAGGTTGCTATATCAAGTAAGATGTTTTCAGTTACATGTTTTAGGATAACAAACCAAATGGGTGTACAATAAAAACAATGTATTGACTAACATATTAAAAAGTTAAATAGGTGTTAGGTTAATCTTAATCTATGGTGGAATAATATTTTATTATATATATATATATATCACATTTTTTATCCATTTATTTATTGATGGACAGTTAAGTTGATTCCATATCTTGTCTATTGTGATCAGTGCTGCAAATAAATATGTGAGTGCAGATAGCTCGTTGATATGTTGATTTCCTTTCTTTTGGATATATACCCAATAGTGAGATTGCTGGATCTTATGGAATTTTTAGTTTTAATTTTTGAGGAACTACCACACTGTTTTTCATAATGGTTATGCTAATTTATATTCCCACTAACAATGTACAAGGATACCCCTTTCTTCACTTCCTTACCAACAGTTTTTATTTTCTGTGTTTTTGATATAGCCATTTTAACTGGGGTGAAATGGTATCTCATTGCTATTTTGATATAAAATTACCTGATGATTAGTGATTTAGAACACTTTGTATATATCTGTTGTCCATGTGTATGTCTTAGTTTGAGAAATGTCTACTCAGCTCTTTTGCCCATTTTTAAATCAGATTGTTTGATTTTTTACTATTGGGTTGTTGGAATTTCTTACATATTTTTATTATTAATCCCCTGCCAGTTGAATACTTTGCAAATATTTTCTCTTGTTATCTAGGTTGTCTCTTCATTTTACGATTGTTTCCTTTGCTGTGCAGAAGTTTTTTAGCTGATGTGATTTCATTTTCCCATTTTTCCTTTGGTTGCCTGTGCTTTGAGGTCTTACTCAAGAAATCATTGCACAGACCAATATTCTGAAGCTTTTCCCCAAAGTTTTCTTCTAGTCACTTCATAATTTTGGATCTTAGATTTATGTCTTTAATCCATTTTGATTTGAGTGTTGTATATGGTGAGAGATAGATGTGTCTAGTTTCATTCTTCTGTGTATGGATACCCAGTTTTCCCAACAACATTTGTTACAGAGGCTGTCTTTACTATAGTGTGTGTTCTTGGCTCCTTTGTTGAAAATAAGTTGACTACAAATGCATAGATTTATTTATGAGTTCTCTATTTTGTTTCATTGGTCCAGGTGTCTATTCATATGCCAGTACCATGCTGTTTTGGTTACCATAAGTTTATAGTAGAATTTGAAGTAAGGCAATTTGATGCCCCAGCTTAGTTCTTGTTCTTCAGAATTGCTTTGACCATTCTGATCCTTTTGTAGCTCCATATGAATTTTAGGACTGTTTATTTTCTGTTTCTATAAAGAATGTCTTTGGTATTTTGACATAGATTGTGTTTATGTATATGTAGATAACTTGGAGTAGTATGGACATTTTAACAATATTAATTAGTCCAACACATGAACATGGATATTTTTCTATTTTTGTGTGGTCTTTATTTTTTATCAATGTTTTATAATTTTTATTGCAGACATCTTTCATTTCTTTGGTTTAGTTTATTTCTAGGTATTTTATATTTTGTAGTCATTGTAAAAAGGATTGCTTTCTTTATTTCTTTTTTACATTTTTCACAGTTGGCATTTAGAAATGCTACTAATTTTTGTATGTTGATTTTATATATAAAATCAGTTTCTTAGTTCCAATTCGTTTTTGGTGGGGTCTTTAGATTTTTTCTAAATATAAAATCTTATTATCTGAAAATAAAGACAATTTAACTTCTTACTTCCCAATTTGGGTGTTGTTTCTTTCTCTTAACTAATTGCTCTTGTTGGAATTTCCAGTACTATGTTGAATAAAAGTGGTGAAAGCACAGTGAAATACTACACAGCCACCAAAAAGAATAAAATCATGTCCTTTTCAGCATCATGGATGCAGCTGAAGGCTATTATCCTACGTGAATGAATGCAGAAACAGAAAATCTAATACTGCATGTTGTCACTTATAAACGGGAGGCAAAAAATGGATGCATATGGACATAAAGATATAAATAATGGACACTAGGATTTCCAAAAAGGGGGAGGAAGAGAGGAATGATTGAAAAACTACCTATTGAGTACTATGTTAGCTATCTGGGTGATGGGTTCAGTAGAAGCCCAAACCCCAGCATTATGCAGTATATTTATGGAACAAGCCCACACATGTACCCCATGAAAATAATATTTTTTGTGTGGTAAAAGCAGTTATTTTGTCTTTTTCCAGGTCATAGACAAAGGGCTTTCAGGTTTTTTCCCATTTAATATGATGCTAGCTGTGTTTGCCATACATGACCTTTATTCTTTTGAGATATGCTCCTTCTATGTCCATTTTGTTGAGAGTTTTTTTCATGAAACGATGTTAAATTTCATTGAATTTTTTTGGCATCTATTGAAATGCCCTTATGGTTTTGGTACTTTATTCTATTTATGTGATATATCGCATTTATTAATTTGTGTATGTTGAGCCATCATTGCATCCCTAACATTAATCCTACTTGATCATACGAATGATCTTTTAAATTTGTTGTTGGAGTCAGTTTGCTAGCATTTTGTTGAGGATTTTGCATGTATGTTTATTGGTAATATTGGCCTACAATTTTCTCTTTTGGGTTATCTTTGGTTATGGCATCTGAATAAGGCTAGCCTTCCAGGATGAGTTTTGGAAGCATTCCCTCCTATTTGATATTTTGGAATGATTTGAGTAGGATTTGTATTAGTTCTTCCTTAAATTTTTGGTAGAGTTCAGCAGTGTAGCCACAAGATCCTGGGCTTTTCATTGATGGGAGACATTTTATTACCATTGTTATCTCATTACCTATTATTGGTCTGTTCAGGTTTTCTATTTCTTTATGGTTCAATCTTGGTAGATTGTATGTGTCTAGGAATTTACCGATTTCTTCTAGGTTTTAAAATTTATTGGCACTGCTCGTAATCGTCTGTAATAATCTTTTTATTTTCTGTGGTATTGTAATGTCTCATTTTTCTTCTTCTTCTTTTTTTTAATGTTACTTTAAGTTCCAGGATACAACTGCAGAATGTGTAGGTTTGTTACATAGTTATATGTGTGTCATGGTGGTTTGCTGCAACTGTCAACCTGTCATCTAGGTTTTAAGTTCCACATGCATTAGCTATTTGTCCTAATGCTCTCCCTCCACTTGCCCCCAATACCCCGGTCTAATTTTTCATCTGTCATTTTATTTGAGTCTTCGCTTAGTCTGGCTGAAGGTTTGTAGATTTTTGTCATGTTTTCAAAGAGCCAACTTTTTGTTTAATTGATCTTTTGTATTGTCTTTCAGTTTCAATTTTATTTCTGCTCCAATTTTTATTATTTATTCTACTAATTCAAGATTTGATTTGTTCTTGATTTTCTTCTTCTTCTTCTTCTTCTTCTTCTTCTTCTTCTTCTT